AGATAAAAATCAATGCCGTGTACACGTCCACTAATAGGAGACGTGGAAGGTATTAAACTGATAAAAATAGTACTAAACACACCACTCCTATCTGGTGTTACATTAGCTTGACCGCGCAGTGCCCCAAATTTGCAGTAAGAGGACCGACCAAGCCTCTTCTTCCATCTCCCTGTTACAAAAATCAATGCCGTATACACGTCCACTGATAGGAGACGCGGAAGGTATTAAACTGAACAGTCTCTATTCTGCTCTTGCATTTCTATTTCTTCATAGAAAACGAAAAATTCTGAGAAGACGTTGGCAGGGCTATTCACTTGTGTGATCTGTCATGAATTGTCATTTGAATGTTATTTTGAACTGTGGGGCACAAGAACTTGAATCTGACAAAATGGCTGCCATATACACATCCACTGATAGGAGACGCGGAAGGTATTAAACTGATCAGAACAATACTAAACACACCACTCCTTTTTTTTGGTGAGGCTTTACAGGACAGAGTGCTTCTCCACAGGACATGTTAACTCACGGGCAGCTGGCTCATCAAGGAACCACAGCAGCTTTCCATGTACAGGTAAGACACGTGCAGCGGTAAGGGTTCAGGCTCTTCTTCCTGGAGGATAGCTGCAAGCCTGTTGAATGGTGACCTTGCTTTCCGGGTCCCAGGTGTCTGGTTCCTAAAATGGCTGCCATATACCGCGTCCACTGATAGGCAGCGGAAGGTATTAAACTGATCAGAACAATACTAAACACTCCACAAATAAGGTTTCTCTCCTGTATGGCTCCTCAAATGATGCTTAAGATTAGAAGCGGCTGAAAAGCATTTCTCACACTCCGAACAAAAATATTTTTTTTTAACATTCTCTCCACTTTGAACGAAATGACGTTTGGGAAGAGATTAACATAATTAAACACAGGCAGTAAAATACAGTTTTTAGCCATACCCTGTAACTTTAAAACTACACATCCCATCTTCATAATTACATATTTGGAATCAGCACACTTAAAACATAAACATAGCCAAAAATCAGCCAAATCCATCCAGGGGTTAAAAAGTTAGCTGGAGGTCCCTTTATGACCGACCGCAAGCACATTTTCCTGCCCAAAACAGTTCCATAGATTTGGGCTGTGAGGTCGGTCTATTTCGGGCTGAAAAAACGACTAAGTCCCATCGCGAATGGGACTTAGTCTCTCTGTGTAAAGAGCCAGTAGGGGGAAGGTAGAGCTCAGCGGTGTTAGCGGAAATGTGTAGCGATTTTAGTTCCATGAATTTGGCTACACATACACGCTGAACCTCATCGAATGATCAAGATGGCGCTGCCGCGTGTTAGAGCAAGCGAACAAGACCTCCCAGCATTGTCAGATTAAGCTCTTGGTTAACGCAGCTTCTGGGAAAATAAGTACTTACTACACACTTCCACTTCTGGGTGGTCTGCCTGTGTGGTACTTGGTTCAGTAAGCCCCATTTACTGAACCAAGTGGGAAATAACCAGGCAGGCACAAAGGGTTTGCACCAGGTCTGGGGACACAGGGGACACCGTCTTAAATGGGCCGTGTCCCCAACAAGTCTGGGGACACGGCCTTAAAGGGGCAGTGTCCCAATCTTCCTGATGTCCCAAAAAAGGTGTTTAAAGGGCCAGCACCAGTCACATAAAGGGTCCATAAGCCCCAATATGCCCACCGACAGTCTTAAAGGGCCATACACACCAAATAAAAGTGCATACATTTTCACAATCTCCCAGGGGCCATAGTCATGCGGGAGGAGGCTGGCAAATAGGCTTCTCCACAACCCAGGGAAGCAGGGCAATTTGACATTTAAAGGGCCCGTTACAAATAGCGGTTTGTAACAAGGTGTCAATCCATATCTGCCAAGTGACCCTATGTAGGGGTAACAGTCCCTATTCTGCTCTGTGTCAGTGTGTATCATGGTCTCTGAGGACAGGTGTCAAACCATATCTGCCAAAGAGTGACCTATGTAGGGGGTAACGGTCTCTATTCTGCTCTGTGTCAGTGTGTATCATGGTCTCTGAGAGGGACGGGTGTCAATCCATATCTGCCAAGTGACCTTCTTGTAGGGGGACCAGTCCCTATTCTGCTCTATGTCGAGTGTGTATCAGGGAACCTTGGGACAGGTGTCAATCCATATCTGCAAAGTGACCCTATGTAGGGGTAACAGTCTCTATTCTGCTCTGTGTCGAGGTGTGTATCATGGTCTCTCCTGAGGGACGGGTGTCAATCCATATCACACTTAGAGTGACCCGATGTAGGGGGAACAGTCCCTATTCTGCTCTGTGTCAGTGTGTATCAGGGATCCTTAGGACAGGTGTCAATCCATATCTGCCAAGTGACCCTATGTAGGGGACCAGTCTCTATTCTGCTCTGTGTCCGTGTGCATCAGGGGCTCTGAGGACAGGTGTCAATCCATATGTCAAGGTGTCACTATGTCATATGTCAGGTGTCAATCCATATTCATTGTGATTTAGGAATGTTAGGTGATTTCTGCCCTTTATGGATTAAAACCAGACTCTGCATCAACTGTGTAATTTTCCATGGGAGTTTTACCATGGATCCCCCTCCGGCATGCCACAGTCCAGGTGTTAGTCCCCTTGAAACAACTTTTCCATCCCTATTGTGGCCAGAAAGAGTCCCTGTGTGTTTTAAAATTCGCCTGCCCATTGAAGTCAATGGCGGTTCGGGCGGTTCGCCGGTTCGCGAACATTTGCGGAAGTTCGCGTTCGCCGTTCGCGAACCGAAAATTTCGGGTTCGCGACATCACTATTGGGGGGCAATATAGTTTCCCACCCGACCACTCCTGTTGCCATTGGGTGGAGGTCTAATTAAAATAAACAGGGGCAGAGGACCTATGGTCTCCAGCAATCCTTACCCATATTTGAAAATATGAAAATAAATAGTGGGAGACCTAATGTAAGCAGCAGTTGGGGGCTATAAATAAATATACAAGGCAAGTGGATTACTCAGACATGTAATAATATAATTTTGGCAATTCAGAATTGGCATTGCAAAAATGTCTGATATTATGTAGCCATTAGGACAGGCAATACTGTAATTGTTTTTGCATGTAGCACAGTCAAGGCAGCATTTTTCCTGCTGTTCCTGCTAGCCTTCCCGAATGCTGAGTCGAACATTAGCATGAATTAAATTCTACAGACCAGAATTTATTTTTTCTTCCAAAGTGCTTCAGGAGAACCAAAATTTTGGCCTGGCCAAATCTATTTTTTTCA